AGTACCTCTCCTTCAGTGAGAGGGGCCAGCCTGCCTTTTTTGCCTATGGCCACAGTAGGGCTGCGGCCTTGCCCACCTAGTTTTTAAAGTAGGCCTCAGGCCTGCCCCCTACTGTGAAAATGCAGAAACTTCACCCAGAGTGCCAACTCCCACCCTTCTTGGAGCAGCAGCCCCATAGATCACTTTGCGCTGTGCTGGGGAGAGCCTCAGCTCTCTGGGCAGACTTAACCTCTCAGCCCCAGTTTGCTCATCTATAAAGGAGAAGGCGGTTGCAAATGCCCTCCTTGCTCACTTGACAAGGACAGGGTAAGGGTCAAATGAGGTCAGACATGTGACAGCCCCTGAACTTGATAAAGCCCAGACCAGGTGTGGTGCTGCCATTTTCTATCAGTAGGCCTCTGAAACACAAACACCCTCCCCCCAACCCTGACCCCAATACCTTCATCCCCTAGACCTAGGGCAGAGCTTACCTGTCCCTTTTCCTCCAGTCCTCTAGTCCCAGGCCTGCTGGGCCACCTCTTGGGCCTGAATTTGACACCCTGGCAGATGCTACTGAACCACGGTACCTCATTTATTAGGTCCCATGATCAGAAGCAGCAGGTTGTCCATCCAGGTAGGGAGCCGCTAGCATACAGAAGGCCACCACAGCTTGAGTTAGATACCTGCTGGGCTGAGCCAAAAGCTGGAGGCTATCAGGGACAGAGCTTGTCTCTCCAGGTGACCTGAGCCCCAGGGCAGGCTGAGGGACAGAGAGGTTGTTCTTAACATGGTCTCAGACAGGAAAATCCCCAAGGCCCTGGGATGCAGTGGCAGTGAGGCACCCCAACGGTTGCCAAATTTAGCAAATAAAAAACAGGACGGACATCCAGTTAGACTTGAATTTCAGATAAGAATGAAATACTTTTAAAATATAAGTATATCCCGTGGAATTTTTTTAAAGGATTTTATTTATTTGAGAGAGAGAGCGAGCAGGGGGCAGGGCAGGGGAAAGAGAGTATCTTGAGCAGACTCCACGCTGAGCACAGAGCCCAGTGCAGGGCTTGATCTCACGACCCTGAGCCGAAATCAAGAGTCAACGCTTAACAGACTAAGCCATCCAGGCGCCCCTCCCATGGAATGTTTGACATATACTTATCCTAAAAATTATTTGTTATTTATCTGAAATTCAAATTCAACTGGGCATCCCACATTTTATCTGGAAACCTTATGCTCCCTGAAATCCCCAGGGTTAAAAGAGCTTAGGGAATCCAACACCTTCCCAGAGCCTGTAGCTAGAGCCCACTGTCTGTTCTGGAACTCTTCTGAGAGGCCACTTCCTGGCTGTCTACGAAGGCTGTGTCCTCACTTCCTGGGTGGTGACTCGTGCAGCCCCGCATTAGGTGGCAGGAGAAGGAACATGACAGAGGGAAGAACCAGGGGTCCCCCTGGGTCATTTGACCTGTGAACCTCTGTAAGACAGGAGTAATCTCCTTTACAGGGTCTTGTCCTCATGGATGGAGGTCCCCGGTTGGCAGGTGCCCTAATACTACACCAGGCATCCTCCTGAGTACTGTCACAGGGGCTGTACCTGCCTTTGCTCAGCTCTTAAGTGTTGGGGTCCTCAGTGTTTCTCCTTCTTCCCTGAGCCACCTCATCTACCGCCTGGCTCCAGTCACCATCTATCGAGAGATCTGACCTTTTAACGTAAAACCTGCATCTACAACCAACTCAGGGGCGATACCACCCCAGAGCTGATGGTCACAGTCAGACCATCGGCTCTCACCTGAACTGCAGCCAGCCTCCCAGCCTGCCCTGCTCTCTGCTACACCACACCCAGGGGCCCCTGCTTCAAAACCCTCAAGGCTTTCCCACTGGTCTCAGGATTAAGTCAAAACACCTTGTCTGCCTCTGCCCCCATACAGCCGTATTTCTTGTTGTGTCACAAACCAGTCAGCACCGTCCCTCCTCCCCAACCCACTGTCCACCCACATGCCTCGCAGTTCCCTTGCCAGCTCTGCCCCTTCCTCGGATTGCCTCTGTCCACCCAGCCCTCAGTGCCCTCCACTAATCCTTTCACCGTGTCCTTCGCTTCTTTGACTTCCCATGTCCTTCCCTGCATAGTGCTCCTATTTGCCACCCTGCCAGGCTTTGTAGGTCTCAGAGAGACTCAAAACTGAGAAAAGGGATGTAAAACTATCTTGTAAACTGGAAAGTTTTGTGAGAGGTAAAGAACAGAACGGCACCTGGGTGGTGTGGAGGAGCCCTCAAGCCTCCTTACAGGCTTACCTCAGATGAAATTATGGCAGTTTAAGCAGGAAGGTGTGAGGAGGTGGGTGGGCAGTGCCTGGGTGGGGGCCTTAGCAGAACAATCATAACCTATGCATGAGATCTGGACTGCATGGGAACCCCTGGAGAGGCAGGGGTGGTGATAGGGGTACAGGATAGTGGGGCCTTGGCTCCTTCCTTCCAGCTCAGCAGGATGAGTCATCCGGAGGTGCTGGCCCCAATCTCGCCCTCCTCCACTCAAGGCTGGGCTGAAATGGCCCAGAGGATGTGCCCAGAGCGTGGAGACGGCAATGCAGAGAGTGAGTCATAGAGCTGAGTCAGAGCCCACTCAGCCCTTTTCGGGGCTCTGACGAAGGCTGTGCTAGCAGAGAGGTATTCTTCCAGCCTTGCCCCTTTCCAAACACGCCCCCCCCGCCCCCCTCCCCCACACGCACAGACAGGCACACTCACTACTCCAGATCCATGAACTCACAACATGCTTCCCCTGACTGCTAGCCTCACTTATGTCAAAGGTTCAGTGAAATCCTGGGTCTCCCATATAATGGCCCTTCTTCACTCTATCTCCCTCTCATTCATTCACTTACAGTTCAGATACTAGGGATAAAAACCTAGTTCTTGTCTAAAAGGAGCTCTCTACCAGGCAGGGGAAACAGTTTTCATTCAGGCCCTGCACTGCAGAGGAGTGAGCCAGTATGGCCCCGGGAGAGCCATACACAGCGCTGGCATCCTGGGTCCTAGGAGGGGGAATGAGGGAGCTGGTCCCAGACACAGCCCCGCAGTGTTGGGTTGGGCCAGGAAGTGACCGCTCAACATCCAGTCCCAGGACTGTGAAATCCAGGGCTCTTCTTCCTCCCCATGAAAACACTGAACCTTTAGGACACATCTACACAGATTCCAACGACTCTCTCCTTCTTGCAATGGGCATGGAGACTTTGACATGTGCAAGCACAGCCTAAACTAACGGTTATAAAACAGGTTCTTGTCTGATCTATCCGTTTTCGGTTGTGAAGACTGACTTTTGGCTCCGAACCTGTAACAGAAAAAGCCACCTGCTTCTATCAGAGAATACAGAATATCAGAACGGGGATGAGTTAGCAGTCCTCTCCTTCTAGTCTAACTGCTTCTTACAGAAACTGAAACTAAAATCCAGAGAGAAGAAAGGAAGAAAAGTTCTTTCACAATTTCCAACCATCTTCCAGCCTTTAAACAAATATAATTTTTGCTACAAAAATAAACCACATTACAGAATGAGTGAAAAAGAAAAACCACATTAATCCCAACACTGTAATGTAACCATTGACATCATTCTGCTACTATCTCTTTATGGTTTCTTTTACGCAATTACAATCGTATGGGCATATAACTGTGTGAACTACTTTTTTTCATTGGACTTTACATTCTAAGCATTTTCACCATGTTACTAGAGTCTTCAGAACTACCATTTTTAATGAGCATATAGTATTCCCACAGAAAAAAAAGCTGTCATTTTTTCCTATTTATTATTTAACCATTCCCTTATTGAAAGACATTTAAGTTATGCCCAAAGTTTGGCTCTCATAATGCTAAATATTACTTTTTCATTTATTTATTTGCGTGAGTTAGACTCCCACAGGTGGAATCATTCTGAGGCAGAAAGTGGGAACATTTTTTTTAAGTCTCCCGATACACGTTAACAAAGATGGTACTCATTAAAGTGCCATCAGCAACACGAGGGCCAATTTGCACTGCAGTCACCTTTCACTGCATGCCATGGTTTAAGATAAAACCACAACTTGCACATTTCAGTGAGTGACCAAAATATAAGTGTTCATAACTTCTGGCCCACCAATTCCCCACGGGCATTCTGAAATGGTAATCAAGTGTAGCCTGCCCACACACACAGACGTGCATGGAAGAGCATGATAGTGTGTGAGACCAGGCTTCTTAAAATGTAGAAGTGTGTCAAAGCCTATGCAGAGGCACATTGTGGGGAAGGACTTCTATATTCTACTTTGTACACTTCAGTGTTGTTTTAATTCTTCACAGTGAGCATATTACTTGTAAAATAGCACGATGACAAAGATATTTCTGGGTAATTTTGGAGGGAAAAAGCTGCCAAAACTAGCACTGCCTTTTAATCTGTGAAGTCCTGGTTCCGTGCACGAGCCCCTCAAGCCCTAAGCCTTCCCCAACCTCGAGTTTTCTGTCAAATGGTGGTGATACTACTAATGCCACATGGTGATACTACTAATAACACACATTATGGTGTCACTTCAGTGAGATCATGCCTGTAAAATGCTTAGCACAATGACTTGCATTTAGTAAGTATTAAACAATTTTTTTAAAAGATTTTACTTATTTATTTGAGAGCGCTAGAGAGAGCACAAGGAGGCAGAGCGGCGGGCAGAGGGAGAGGGAGAAGCAGGCTCTCTGCTGAGTAGGGAGCCTGATGCGTGGCTCGATGCCAGGACCCTGGGATCACAACCCGAGCTGAAGGCAGAAACTTAACCAACTGAGCCACCCAGGCGCTCTGCATTTAGTATTAATAAATGTTAACTGTATCATTATTTTTTTCTGACATTTCTTTTAGTCCCCTTCCTACAACCTTAGCCTATTTCTTACCACTTATTCAAATAATTCCAAGTCTCCAGGGAATAAAGTCCACGGGAAGCCATGCTAGCCACATAACGTTCCTGAGAATTCTGTTTGGCAAATCATAAGCCATTAACCCCAGAGCCACACAGAGACATAACGCGGGAGGGAGGCAGTGGCGCACGCATGCGTGTGGGCAGCACACTTGAGCATGAGTGAATGCCCGCTCCATTCCAGATGGTGATGAGGACGCACAGCATTTGAAAATGGCAAAAATGAGAGCACTTATTTTCAGGAGAGGAACAGCTGGGGGGAAAAACACCCAGTGAAGTAAAAATAAGAATATCTGATTTTTTTAAGAACTGAAATCTCCAAGCACCCATAATGCTTAGAATCTCAAATACCTTACACTTATTTTCAGGGGGAAAAAAAATTAACAAAACAAAGATCATTTTTAGAAAGAAAAGCTGCGTAGAAGGGCACTAAGCTAGGAGGCAACAGCACGTGAAATCCGGTAGAAAAGGGCCCTGCAGTCAGACCCCTGGGGCCCAAATCTTGGCTCTTCCACCTGACTATCTCCAAGAACATGGCCAAGGTAATTCATCTTTTTGTGTCTTAGTTTCCTCATCTGGAAAATGGGGATAATAAAAGTACCTACTTTTCTAGTGGGAGGTTGTTGGGAGGACAGAGTTAGTAAGTGCCGGCTACTACTTCTGTATGCGGCTGGTGGTCTCAGGCAGTACTGTAGCAGTGGGCCCCTTGAGTGGCAAACCTCACAGCCACCCCTGGGTCCGCTACTGTGGACGTGCCCACAGAGGGAGGACCAGCCCCTGTCTGCTGGCAGAGTTTTTGCTACTGCTCAACCCCTCTGGTGAAGTGGTCCAGGTGAAGCAAAGCCTGCCCTGCCAGCCGGCCGTACTGCAGGCACCCCGGCTTTGAGAGCATCACAGAGATGGGGATGGTGCCTGGGGCAGGGGTGGTGGAAGGGTCATGCAGTCAGGCAGAGAGAGGCTGACCTTGAAGGCTGCTGCTCCTAGAGTGACCTCTGATTGGATTGCCTAGGAAGACACCAGGCCTCCAAGCAGCTTCCTGGGTAAGAGGGCAAGGTGCTTACAGCCCAGAGGCCAGGAGCAAAGCAGGCAGTCTCCTGGGGGAGAGGGTAGAAATGGAGGGGCCAGTGTGGGAAAAAACAGGGAAGGGGAGGGGGAAAAAAAGGAAGGGTTAAGGGAAAGGTTGTGGGTGGAGGAGGAGGCTGGAGGCAGTGGGGAAAGTGGAAGACCAAAGTCAGGGAGGGGAGACTGTGGGGGAGAGGGAAGGAGGAAGCAGATGAGAAGGAACCAGCAGGGAGAGAGCAGGGCCCCAGGCCAGAAAGGGCAGCCCTGCCTTCCCATCCTAGAGTGTGACTGTTTACTGAGCAGTCCTCCTTCCTCAGCAGAAATGCAGCCTCGGCCTTTCTGGCCTTTTCTGGCCTTTTCTGGCCTGACTGCATCCACACACGCCTCCGAGGCACTAGTCAGGCAGCCGCTGGGGAGGACTCGGCAGGAGCCTCAAATGCCACCTACTCCCCGGCCTCTCTCCCAGTTGATGCTTCTATTTTAGGCACCACATTATTTCCTGCTGTGATTTTTTTCAGCCTTCTAATTCGGGCTCTGAGGTAAGCCGTGACATCCGCTCCAGCTCCCACAGCCTCCCCCTCCCGCCCCCTGGAAGCAGCAACTCGACCCTTCCCAGGGTGGCCACCCCTGTGCCCTGCACTGCGCAGCACCCCGGAGACTTCAGGGACTCACCCCACCACAAGCGTCCCAAAGGAGGCTTTAGGAGGAGGGCTCCATACGCCTCCTCCCCACCCTCTAGGCTCGCTAGAATGTATTTCTGGGCAAGGATTTAGAAAAAAATGACAGGGACCAGGTATAAATTATACCACTGTGTCCCTGTAGATGCTTCAGAATCCGTGATTTTCAACTCTTCTCTGGACAAAGGCCCCTTTGAGAATCTGATGAAAGCTATGCACGCTTTCCCCAGAAAGTATCTATGTGCAACGCCCTCCCCCCCTGCACAGACCCTGCAATTGTGCTTATAACATCAGGGTTGTACATGCAACCCTAAGTAGTCCCAGGACCCCAGGTCAAAAGCCCCAGCTCAGAGGCCCTGAGTATCTCATAGATCAGCTCCTCTTGCCAGTTTCCTCCCAAACACACTCACTGTTCCCTTCTTCCTTTACTCCCCTCCCCTGTGATCTGCCTCTTTATATTCATTCAGTGTATGTTTTTAAAAGTGTCTTTGTATGTGCAAGGATTTCACCCCAAAGGGCCATGGGAGGTCAGGGATAGTGGGCATCCCTGAGCTCCAGTCTAGTTCATTCCCTGGGTCCGACCTAACCGGTGGTGGAAAGGACGTCACACTTGGACTTGAGAAGGCTTGCACTGGAGTCCAACACTTAGTAGGTTTGATGCCTTGACTTCCCTGAGCCTCTACCTCACCGGCACAAAAGGAATTCTATTAATAAAGCTTCCCTCGCAGGACTGCATGAGGCAGTGCAAAGGGGGGCAGCTCTCAAAGGGCTTTCTTTGTTAAGGGAGGGGTCAGTTTACTTCCCACTCAATCACTCAGACCTTGTCTGGTGCCCCTTCAGAACAGGCATCACCTAATAAAGTTTTTCTTTTCTTTTTTAATGCTGATTGGAAAAATGAGCCCAAAATAAGTAAGCGATGTGAGATGAGAAGCTCCGGAATGATGAGTGAGAAGTCAAGAGCCCATCCCCAAGCAAAGAGAGCAGCTACCATGGAAATCAGCCTTTGAAATCTGGCTGCTTCTGATTCAGGATCTCCCCTCTTCCCACAGGTGTTAAAAGAGATCCATCTTCAATCTCTTCCTCTCCATCGAAGCCTTCCCTACCACCTACACACACGCTTCCCTCCCATCCCCTTCCCTGTTTCCTAAGGTGCCCTCTGCTTATGGTATCAGTTCTTCCTCCCACCCCTGTGAGATGTCTCCAGACTGCCAGAGTCACCTCTACCTCCTAAATATGCATTCTCAGTGTGACGCCCTCCTCATTGTCCACTTTAGGGACACTTGCTCAGTCCCTGCTCTCTCTCGAATTCTGGACATGTTTTCTGACATCAGAGAGGGCTCTTCCCAAGCTTTCTTCTTCTGAGCTCCTACACAAATACCCTAACTTGGTTCTCTCTTCCCGCCTCTCTGATTGCTCCTTCTCTTTGTTGGCTCTCTTCCTCTTCTGCGCATTTTAAAGGGTGGCTATTCCCAGGGTTCATCATGTTGCCATCAATTCCCCATCCTGTGCCCTCTGCCTTTTGGTGGCACCGACCCTGGTGGTGCCAGCTATCACCTCTAGGCTACTAGCTCTGACCTCTCTTGAGTTCCAGTCCCAGTTTCATCTGCTTGTTAGGACAGTAAATGTAAGCTCTGTTGTCACCTGGAAATGAATTCTTCATCTTCCCCCAAGTCACCTTTCCTTCCCAGCTTCCCTTTTCTGTTTGGGGCATGACATTCCCCTGGTCACCCAGGCACAAAGGTGCCATCAACTTTGACTCTTCTGCCCTCTCTGCCCACCTCCATGCCAGCACCAAATCCTGTCCATCCCCCCTTGGGATCTCCCTGGCATCCACCCTTCCTTCCCTTTCCCACCTCCATTCACCTAAACCTAGCTTTCAGCTCTGATGGTTGTAGTAGCTTCCTGGCTAGCTTTTCCTACTCATAGTCTCTCCGTTTTTTAGAAGAGGTTCACCCGGGAGTCAAGACCCATCTCCACTAAAGCTTTCTCGACCTATCTGAACTGCTTTAGCTCACCTTGCCTGTTCTAGTCACTTTGCCAGTACATCTTCTCTTGCCAGGTAATACCTCTCCTATTGTTATTTAGTGTTTCACATTTTCACCTAAATGGAAGACCCCAGAGCTCACTCTCAGCTCCTAATCTGAGCCTGCCAAGGACCAGCCAGGACCTCTGGTGTTGCACCCTGGTATTTAATACAAATGTTTCTGATTCCTCATTGTCTCCCCTCTTTGGTCTTGCTCACTGCAGCCCTCTTCTTTATTAAACGAGGAAGGCCCTTCACCATAAGACAGAGAACCCAAATTCCAATGCCTGGAGGGGACAGCAGGTCATGAAATGGGTGAGGTAGGCCAAGTACACAATGATAGGGTGATGGGAGATGGCATCTAGATCCCATGTCCCCAGTTAGAGGGGTTGCTGCTACTCGGTCCTCCTTCATTGCCACTGGGCGAGGTATAACTAGATCTTCCAGCTTTTCAAAAGAAACAAAGTTGGATTTTTATGGGAAATTTCCCAACTTTTAAAACATTGTGCAAGCCAAACAAAACATGGCCGCAGGCTAAATTCAGCCTATAGGTAACCCTGGACATAAAGGTTTCCTGCTTTGTAATTATTCTTGACATGGCAGAAACATTTTGGACTACAGGCTTCTAGTTACAGTTGTGTCAGTAACAAGGTGGGTAACCTTGGAACTTAGTTTCTTCATCTGTACATGAAGGATCCTCTTAAATGATCCCCAAAGCTTTTTCAACTTGGTAATTCTGTGGTTCCTCAGTTTATCCTAAATAGTGGGAGAAATGCTGTTTAATTATATTGTCTGGTTAATGAAGTTTCCCATACAATAAAAAAAATATGAGATTTACCATAAAAACATACTGCACATAGATTACTGCATTTCAAAGAACTGGAATACAATAAGGCATTAATTAACTGAAATTCTCCAAGGTTAACTGGAACATCCCCTTATTGTCAAGCTTATTGTTGAAAAACTTTCTGAAGTACCAGAGTCCAGTTTCCTGCCTTTCTAAGCACAGGAGATGCGGCAATGCAGGGCGAGGGGAGCTGATGAGTCCATGTCTGGGACGGCTCTACCACCTGAGCTAATGGGGATGGGCGCCAAGCAGGCCAGGAGGTCCTCTCAGGCCACTCCCAGCCAAGGAGCTGCTCATGGTCTGGGACCCCTGGCTGAGGCCAGAAGATAACTACACCAGCCTCTTTGCAAGACTCAGACCCCTGGCTTTAACATCCACGTTGGGAGGCTAACCTCACCCATAAGCTGGGAATTAGCTGAAAACCTGGCCCTGCAAGTATGTGTCGAGGCTCAATGTCATGACAGTACCCAGAGCTCCACCCCACCAAAAAGAGTAAGAGCTCTGCAGCCCAAC